TAGCTCAAATGCGGTGCTGTCTTCCCCACTTTGTTAGTTAATAATGTTGTAGAAAATGAGGTTGTTCTTTAAGCGACATCACTCTCGTCCTGAAGGGTAGAGTGTACAATGCAGCGGTACCTTCGACTCTACTGTACGGTTGTGAACCAAGGCCCTTTAAAGCAGCGGACCTGAAGAGGCTAGTTACGCTAGACCATCGGTGCCCTGGCAGTTTAGCTTACATCTGATGGGAACACTGCGTGAGCAACGAGCGTGTTCGACGCCTTATTTACGGCACAGAAAAAGGATCTGAACCGCTCAGCACCGTCATTTCACGCACCAGGCTCCGATGGCTGGGCCAGGTATTACGCATGGCAGCCCACCGGCTTCCGCGACGTGCGTTGTTTGCGCGCCCCGTGGTGTGGATGGAAGAAGAGGAGGGATGGCCAAGTGATGACTTGGTCGAGAGGAATGAAGGCCCTCACTTCGAATCTGGCTTGGGTTGGAGAGTCACGGTTCCCTGGTTGGGGTCCGAAAGACGATGAACACGTTTGTCTGGATACACTTGTTGATATGGCTAGGAGCCGACCACAGTGGCGTTCGTGCTGTGAGTTTCTTTGTCCCACCCCATCCCTCTTAGCCTCCCCCTCCAATCACGATCTCATTATTTAGTATTTTATAATTTTTCTGTTACATAGCAGCCGGCAGATAGCTTACCGGAACGACGCCCATCCGTTACCGGTAGCTCAGCTGGCTTGCACCTGTAGCATTTTATTCCTTTCTTTTCTTCTAGGTATTGCGGCGCAGTAGCTGAGGTGTGTCCCACCTCTAGCTAACATGTATAGTGCGTGTGGGTTTTCTCCAAAGAGTATCCAACTGCAGTTGTCGACAGCGATAATAATAACTCCGGTTTGAGCTGCGCCCCATGACCAGCTTGGTAAATGATCGTTGGATATTTTCCAGAGTTGTTCTGTCTTTTTATCTCATTTGGTTGTGTACAATAGTATCCTATTCCAGCATCGTTTGTACGATTATCTTGAATGACTCAAATCGTGTTTCATGCAAGGGAGAAAGTTCTGGTGATGTATCCGCATAGCTGCCTCACTTTTACAACCCGAGTACGCACATGTTCGGAGAAATGGAAAGAGTTGGAGTGCCTAATTACTAAGTCCCGAACTGAATCAGATGTTGGTTCGCATTTCTGGCAAGTCTGATGGAGCCTTCTGAGATGCGGCATCTATACCCAAATACTTGGGATTTTACTGCGGAGAGCTTCATTCGCAAACGTTCACTAGCTATCTTTAGTGCGGCCTGATCTTCACAAATGCTTCCCAGGCACATTTGTAGTTGATCTGAATGAAATGAGTAGACCAGTTCGACATCGTCTGCAAACAGAAATGGGCGTACATGTTTGATCGGGTCGCATATCTTGTTTACGTAGAGTAGGAAAAGTAGTGGTCCGAGCACCCTTTCCTTGAAGACGCCGCTGGTTATCTGTTTTGGCGTAGAGTATTACTGACCGATTCTAACTACTTGGGTTCGATCTTTTAGCTATGAGTCGAACCAGTTTAGCAGAGGTTTTCCAATGCCATATGACTCTAGATTAGACAGCAGTGGTTTATGCGGCACGCAGTCGAACGCCTTTTGCATGTTCAACAGAATTATAATGATTTCTATCCGTCTGTCAGTCACAGTCGTGACATGATCGAGGAATTGTAGCCGGCAGGTAACAGACGAGCGTTTTGAGAGAAAGCCATTTTGTGAGGGATTGATCAGATCCAGTATTGTAAGAAATTGTGCAATATTCTTCTCGACTACTCTATCTAGGGCTTTGGATGCAGCAGAGGTGTGATTTATGGGACGGTAGCCTGACATTTCATTTCGCTTACGCATTATAATGGGTTGCTTCCATTGAGATGGAAGCAGCCGGTCGTGAGAGAAAGTGTAAATATCTCTAATAACAGTAGATAGATGTTTTTTCCGGCAAGTTTTATAGTTGTTTGGGAGATGCCATCTGGGCCTGGACGAGTTGATGATTTTATTGATGCTATGATACTGCACCTCTCTCAACGTCACAAGAACATTTCAGGGTAGCTCGTTCGTTCTTTTTGGAAGTGGAGGATGAAACAGCTGAGTGTTTTGGACAAAGCAAGAGGCAAAACTCGAGTTGATAGCCTCGCATATGCAAGAGATGTCGCGCGTTATTGAACCGTCGTCCAGGACCAATGTTGCAATTTCCTGCTATGGTTTAGCATTCCCTCTTTTGAGTAGTTGCATTAATGTACGTACTTTTTCAGGATTTCTAAGTACCGGACTTTCTTCTTTGATTTTGGCCGTTTGGGTTGGACCTTGTAGCTATATGCAGAGCCTCGTGTATTTGTAGCAATGTTGCGATACTGTTGCTCCTACGATCTAGTGATTTAAGTTTCTTTAGTTTGGTTCTGGCCTTGCACAGAAGCTTGAGTTCACTACTATGTTCATAAGTATTTCTCCATACGATAGGTGCCAGTAGATCCACACCAAGGGCAATATTGTTCATAAACTCATTTGTAGTCACAGTGGGATTGTGAGTTAAGACTGACGTGTTCCAGTTCATAGTACTGATAGGTTTCTTAAGTGATTTCCAGTCTACGCAATGGAGGTTTTGAATGGGTGTTAACATTTTACTTGATGGTTTAGATGAATCAGTAGTCATATCACAAAGCACCGTGTTGTGATCACAACCCGGTAGTGGATTATCAATGTACACATAAGCGAAAGAGGTCCCCATCTTGAGTTCAAGGTATAGGGTATTGGTACTTCTGCTTGGCTCTCTAACATGCTGAGCCCAGCCATTGAGGTGGATACATAAGGTGATTTGGCGGTTGAACTGTTCGCTGAGCTTGGCAATTTTGTTGCAAACGTTTCGTCACCAATCGAGGTGACATCATCAGTGCGTAGTTGAGTGGCATGCAATAGCAAAGAGTAGCGTAGAGGAGCCTCGGTGAGCCTCTCACCGAGGATTCGTAGTCAGAGGCATTTTGGGTAAATATTGGGCCGGCTATCTGCGACTTATCCTGACAACTGTCTCAGTGTTGCTTGCGGAAGCCTGAAGGCACACATTTTGTCAGTTGGCCTAGCTCGATATCTCTACCTTCTTCTAGTGGTCGCTTCCGAGTTGCTGAGCTTTGAGTGTTTCTGGGAAGGTGTTTTTCGCTGTTTGCCTATTCCTCGGTTAGCCGGAGATAAGCCATCCCTTACTTCGTTTGGGTCGGATTTAGATTTGTTTTTCGTCTTGCCAACCTGACCATCTCCGTTTTTGTTTCGTTCTCGATAATTGCCTTTGTTTTCCTCATTCCCAACTATGCCAAACGTTCACTTCTCACAACCGAATGCCTCGCTGTGTTCTGCGATCGTAGCCACACATTTGGCGTCTGTATCCTATCTCACCCCTGCCGGCAAAGCAATTTGCGCCATTGGACAGTTGGCAATTCAGCGTACCGATTGTACGTCAGCACCTGAGTGCAGCCGCCCCTAGACCCGGACCAGGTTAACAAAACACCCCATACTTTCGCTTTGAACTTGTGATATTTGTACCGACATGTAGCCTTAAGGTTCGCAAGCCAACCTTGTGCTCCGAGGGCGCGGCTTCTAGTCTGCATAGGGACTAGACAACCCTAGCATAACACTTAGCCCACATGCGGCTGGTGATGTGCTGCATCGAAGCGTCGATATTGCGTACCGCTGATGCCCTCTATGACACGATCGCATGGTTATTGGAAGTCAGCGATATCGACTTGTTGGGACTGCTTAGCGGGGGAAAGCGTAGATTTATGACATCCTTTTCAGTGTTCGATTCCACTGCTCCGAGTACCGATTCATGCGGTGCGTTTTGGAGATACCAGCTTTCATTGAAGGTTGTTCGCGCTATTTTGCACTTAAATCCTGCGACGCTATCATGTTGCCGTTTGTTCACAGAATCACAGGACGCTTAGGCTTGGTCATTCATTCCCCAGTATGATGATACCAGTATTTTGAAACCTGCTGCATGCTATGCTTCATGTACACCGGTGACTACCACATCGGATTGTATTTTGCTGTTTTATCCGCTGATGAGCTTATTTGAGTTACTTATGGACCTGTCGTTACTCCACTACTGTCTACTTCGCAAACAAAAGTCAGATTACCTCCTTGTTCTCAATTGTTGCCCGCCGTGCACCTGGTATGAAGCCAACTAGCCCTTCACGTTAACTCAGTAACCATTTGGAGCATTTGTTGGTCATCGTCTACTCGTTTCGTGATGCAATTCATCCCATCTTAACGGAAACCATATTTCTATCTTGTCAGAGATAAGCCTCCTTGGTCTGTGCTCTTGTCGCCTGAGTGACTTCGTATTCTAACCCACCATTTTAAATCAGTCGTCAAGATCAGTGCGCCCTGAGCTTGCAGACTGAGTCATCGTTTTTCTGGCATTAATGCATGTGTAGCATGAAATCACTTTACACACACCGAAAAAGCAATCGAACTTGCCACCTCTCGTGCATCTCTGAACGTCACGTTGTTGTCACGAACCTCATGGCATAATGTTTTTGTTAGCCACCCTTGAGCATACAAAATAGGCGACCTTCTGACTGAACCCCAGTGGGGGTCTTTACCAGTTTCGGACTGCTAACGGTGCTATATTCGACCGGTCAGCCTATATGGTCGTTATGTGGTTGTATACCAGTTCACTTATATCAGCTGTCTACGGCGTACCATAATTATAATGTACTTGAACCGTAAGTATAATCGACTTTCTAGGACCGCGAGTCGTTACCGCGATATTTTTTGGGCCGATGATTTTAATTTTATCCATGAGACCTAGTCGTCTTCACAACTCCACATTCCTGTTAAAATCACGCTTCCCTAAAGCTGCTAACAGCCTGTGTCTGTCCGCGCTGCATCTAAGCAACCATTTATCTACCGAGTTTAGATTTTATCTAGTTTAGGCCGTTTTTGCATTCTGAGCTATCTTACCACAATCTCACTCTTGTTTAATTTAGCTTGTGGCTTCCGCTCCGGGGTTTCCTCATGGTATTATCGATCCTGTGGAAGAAATTGCCGCGGTAAGTTTAGCATTCTCGACAACTTGCTGTTTTCTTTTATTGTGCGCTGCGCGTTTCTACCACGAGATTCAGTTGCCAATTCGCTCTTTCAAATACATCTACTACGAAGCTAGCTAACGGTTGAGATACCTCCGATCGCATCTATGCTGTTTGCAGCTTTCTACTTGTGTTAGCAACTATGGGACAAGGCTCCCTTCAATACCGTAAATGAGCCAGTTTTCGCTTTTCCGTCATCAGAATTTAGGCGTTATGCGTATTTTTCTACTAGTTGCAATGGTTGGGGGTTTCTCGATTAGCATTAAAAAGATGCTGTCATTTGAATAGCACTACCGTGCCAGGTGCAGAACTACAGACAGATGATCGCAGCGAGCTTACCATCTTCACAATATATTCTGCAACTGCCAGATGTCGCCTCTTGTTCAGCTCATATCCGATTCTCTATATTTGAGGAGCCAGACAAGCCGCTTTCGATATGCTGATGTAATTTCCATCCACAGAACATTCTCCCATGCTTCAGACTAACAAGCAGCATGTTTATCTGTACACTTAACATCCCGGGAAGTACATCCGTAGCTGAAGAGTATACGAACGATTCCTTTTTATTTTACTGAAATGTAGCTCTTCCATTGTATTGTCAAGCCAAACAAGTGCTTTATGCACTCAGAACGGGCGAATATTCAGCAGTAACGCAGCTTTCGACATTGCAGCATGACATAATTGCAATTCAAAAAATTTGGATTAATAACTGGGAAAATACATTACCATCATGGCATCATCTGGTTGGTTACTCCTCGGATAACTTTATTTTGAACTGGCAAATCGCTCTAGATAAGAGATAACTGACGAACACTAATTTCTTGTTCAAGGATATATGAATTTATACTGATGTTTGGTTGATGAGGTCGACACACCTTCAGACAAAACACCATGAAGGAGATGATTTGTGTCGACAAGTACTGTCTCTCCCAAAAACCAACATGTGTGGGCACAGATATGTCACTAATGAGTAGTGGAGATTTTGGTCTAATTCAGAGTTAGTTCATCACGGTCCACTCTCAGTCAGCAGTCCGCTTTGATACACCACCATCTCTGGACCTGGATATTCGTCTGAAGTCTTTACCCAATAGACCGTGACATATCATTGGTGGAAGAACAGATGCAGTGACAAACGAAGCATCAAACCATGGGAAACAGCAGATGTTCGTAAATGTGAGTCCTAGAACGTTAGTCTCCTGACTTTCGTGAACTTTTCGTTTCTCTGGTGTGACCAAGATAAATCGTAGCTAAGCATGACATACGACTATTTTACCGATGTGGAGGAGTACAACCACTCTCCATCGATGTGTTATTCCGGTCATTGCTGGAGAAGCTGTTGATATCAATGTCTTCTACACATTGGAAAAACGACATCATTGCATTTTGACGCGTTAATGCGGCAACTCGCGGACCTTTAACCAAAACGTGAGATCGTTAAGCATATCTCGTAATCTGACTGTAGAGTCAGTAGTCCATTGGTTTACACCCAGGGCAATGTCATCTGCATACTTCAGCAGGGACCGGTATTGATCTAACATAATTGGAAAATGGAAATGGTGATAGAATAGCTCTCTGAAGAACATTGGTGTTTGTGATTAGGGGCGAGAAGCTTCTGCCACCAAATCGACTCCAATCCCATCAATTTCCTCGCAGAGCTTGAGACAACACTGAGCTCATGCAACATCACGGCTTACGCCCAACATACGATCAGGTATAGTATCATTCCAGCACTGGGACCCAAGAATGAAACCAACATGTTCAACACAACTGAACACAAAGCGTTGCGAAGCCTTAGAAAAGCTGAAGATATTGTTACCTTACCGGCTGATAAAGGACGTCTTACTGTTGTAATGGACAAAGCTGATTTTACCAAGAAAGCGCAAGGAATTCTCCAAGATGTGAATACCTACCAACCGGTCAACGAAGATCCCACAAACGATTGGAAAGCAAAATCAAACGCACCCTACAAAATCTGGAACAGCTGGGACAGATTACAAAATTAGAACACAGCAAGATGAAACCAGAGGATTCGGTGCTACCGCGATTCTACGGCGTGCCAGAAGTGCACAAAAGTGTAGTCCCCCTCCGCCCCATCGTGTCGTTACCTGGAGTTCCGAATTACAAACTTTCCCACGAATTCTTGTAGAGATTGAAGCACCTGCTAGCTGGCTCGGAACATTCTATGCAATCTGCAGAACAATTTTTGGCTAAGCTCAGGGAAACAGTAATAGAAGAAGACGAAATCATGGTTTACTTTACTTATGAATGGAAGGATTTTGGTGAGTATTTTTGTTCGTCGCAATCAGCCGACAATTCAGATATGTCGACCAGCTGTCCGGAAAAGCACCAGACGGCCGTCTCGCCCTATTGGGGCTCATCAGTGGTGCGCATCCTTCGGTCCTCTGCGGAGGATCGAACCCATGACTGCTAGTGGCTCTTGCCAACTAGCCCGCAGCTTATGCAACTGCGCCATGAAGGACGGTATCTGACTATCGTGAATTGTTAGCTAAATGCGATATAGCCCGACGCTTTTCCGGACAGCTGATCGACATATCTGAATTGTCGGCTGATTGCGACGAACAAAAATGGTTTACTTTGATGTAACAGCTTTGTTCACTTCGATCAACCCCAGCCTGACGAAGCAGCGCGGATCCTCAGACACGAACAATAAAATAGAAGTCATCCACATGATGGAGTTGTTGGATTTGTGCCTCACGACACACCAGTTTCAACGACTAAACCTACGAACAAATAACAGGCACGCCAATAGGTTCACCGATATCTGGACTAATGACCGAAGCGGTGATGTGGTCCGTGCTGTGGTCCACCAGTTGGTTTTTGGCGAGAAACCCAGTGCCTCACTTGAATGTTTGCTGAATCTTAATCGCTTACACTTGCTAGGTCGTGTCCTCCCTATACCCGTTGATTGGCTTCCTCTGCGTGCATTATACGCCGTGACCACACTAAGTTGGGCGGAACCGCGAGGTGGCCACTCCATGACGTGGCATAGATGCATGAAGAAATGGACTGAGAGACTTGGTCAGGCTGGTACCTGCCGTCTTCGTGGATTGTGGTCTCGGCATGGTCCACACCAATGATTAGCTACCGTTTTAGACATGGCGCAGTCACGCAGTCAGTGGCGTTCTTACATCTGGTTGTTAATTTTCGTTCCATTCTGTTTACTTTAACACATTTCCTTCTTGCTTCCATTTTCTTTACATTCCATTTGCTTTTAATCCCACGTTCTTGCCGTTGTTATTTACTGTTATTCTTGTGATGTGAGTCGTGGCAACTGGACGTACCGCACTTCGGTGCTCGGATCATAGTTGCTCAACTGAACTGTATTCCAGCACCGAGTAGACCTTTCAACAGCGATTTGCGGTTTCCGCAACCGAATGCGTTACTGCGGTCCAGAAAACAGGCTTGTGGGGAACCTGCTTATATTGTCGCTTAATGACAATACCGAGTGCACAAGGTAGGCCTTCTACGTCTTGGGTCTACCTGGAACTGCAATAGGCAATTTGAAGTGATTCATTTGACCGCCATGGTGGTGTCAGCGTCTTCCCAATAATTATTTTTTCGTACACATTTATGGCTACTGAAGTACAAGCGGTTGATCGATATTTGCTTGATTCCTTTCTGTATTAGTATGCCGCTGACGCCTTTCTAGCAGTCGGCAATTTTATGTTGTTCAATACGCAATACATATTAGGTAGCCTTAGGTTTAACCAGGAAGTCAGCACATTCCTTGGGGATAACGGGAGACAGTCTTTGCGTACCATCTGCTTTCATTGAGTGACGCTGTTACAGTACCTTGTGTACAGTGTCGCTGTCGACAGGTGGCAGTGGTTCTACTGACAACTTAGGCTGAGCAAAGGATGAGTCATAGATCAGGTTGTTGTAGCAGTTGCAGTAGTCATTGACCATTTTCTCCACTTCTACGTTGGATGTTGATGTACGCCGAGCAATCCCGCTTAGTTGTTTTAATATCCTCCGGAGTTCACGGCAACTACTATTCCCAAGTATAGCCTGAATGTACACGTTCTTGAAACGGCGCAACTCCTCCTTAATAAGAACAGTGACCGCCTTTTCTGATGTGTAGTCTTTTATTTGGAAAGCTTTCTCCTTTTGTTTACACATTCTCTTCAGGTGAGGAGAAGAGAACCTGTCCGCACAGACGGATAGAGTTTCGCATAGACAGCAAATTTCATAACAGAAGTTCAGGTAGCTCGTCAACCGATTGCTCTACTTGGATACCTTAGTGCCAAACAATAAGCCGAAGTCGTTGGATAGTATCATTTCTCGCAGTCGGGCAATATTCTGTGCTGGACACTGCTTCCACCTAAGCTCGCGATCATTGCAACGAGTAACCACCTTATGGACGCAGCTTAACTGTTAAGTGATCATTGCTGCCAAGCGTCACCCTGTTATACACGGAAAAGCTTCACGCTGTTGACAAATACCCGATCTATAGCCGCATTGTATCTGGTATTGCAATTTGCGATGTTTTGTACCCTAAGCCTGGTGAGAAAAGCGGTGTCAAATCGGTTAAAATCAGCAGAAAACTACAGCGGAAACAATCGATGTGGTCTATGACAGCCGCGGTAAACTCATTGTGAAATGCCTCTGCGGACATGCGGGTGAAATATAGGTGTTAGCCCGTAAGTTTGAGCGACACGCATTAATACATTCCGGCTTGCACCTCAGAACTAAGCAACTAATACGATTTGAAAAGAAGCACCAGGAATGGTGGGTGTAAATGATGACTCCAGCACCACGGTTACGGTAGACGAAAGGGCGGTCAACCCAGTGGCAATTGAGCCCTTCCACCGATACAAGTGCTTTATCCACTTCTTGAAGCCAGGTCTCTTGTTGCAAAATGAAACCCAGCTGCGAGTATTTTCGGAAGTTTATGGTACTCATTGATTCACCCATTTTTCCTAAACGCGAACGGATGTCTAAGCTAAGTGAGCTAGGTGTGCTCGTGCTTCAGTTTTTTTCCTTTAGAAAAGCAACCTTCCATGCAGCGCGGTGTTTTCTTGCATAATTTTTCTGTTTCTTGTAAATTCATTGTACAGCTTGTGAGCACGGAAACAAATAGCAGTTTTAAAATGTTGTGCGTATGGGTCAACATGATATCAATTATTTCCGGATAAAAAAGAAGTACGATAGATCTATGCAGCCAAAAGCGTGTTTATCAAAAATTCCACACAAAAAGATCTTAGAACACGGCCAGATTTGTAGACCCCGCTGTATACAGTCGTACCTGCTTTTCCCATCTCGAGTGAGATGAAGTAGTTTATGGTTCCATGGAATCCCAGCGTATGCAGCCCCACGAGAAAAAAGCCATGACTTCTAGCAAGTGGCTCACTGTTTCCACCGTCTTATCCAACAGAGCGCAATCAATCCCAAAGACAAAGCCTTCGTTACTCACATGCACTTTTGAAACTCGCTGCAACTGTCGCCAAGTGAAATGTACGCCTAGAGTCTTACCTTTATTACCCATTACTGTTTTTGAGATAAACACCGATCATCATTATAGATCCGTTGAATCGACCACATGGCAACTGTTGCGCGTCTGTCCCCCTTCAACAAGCTTGCTCTTCCGATACAGTTCGGCACTTTGCTTTTGGCTGACAGAGTGCGTCGATTAACTCCATGTTGTCCCCCGATCAACAAGCGAACTTATGGTACATACGGTGATTTGATTCCCGATTTGCCGCATCGGAAAACTTTATGAATATTTTGTGTGTGGTGAAGTGCAATTACATTTTTGAGTGAAACTATCACTGCTGCCTCCCACTTTTTCAGTGATTCTTATGCTGTCTGTACAACTATTTTGTCTCGTCTAAATGAGATTGCGTTGCCGACGACGTCACCATCTGTATTGCTTTATACTCGTTATATTGTTGCTTGAGGTCGCAACCCGACTACGGCTTGAAACCTAACTTCTCTGTTTGTATCCGGAAGCGACAATCAGTGCGCACCGTCTGTTGTCCCATCCGAATGTTCCACAATCTTGTCTCTCTAAATTAATATGTTGCGCGCAGTTCTTTTAACCTACAACACTTAAAATTTTCAGCAGATTTTCTCTCTCGGACATCATCTCAGCAACCAGCGTAGTAACCCAGACATTAGCTGCTAACATACGAACAGCAACTGTCGTTTGTTTAGAGGATCCACAAATCGATACGCGTCGGAACTTAAACCCCGCGTGAGCGTCAGCCAATTTCGTCTCGCTACTCACCACTATGTATGGGCCTACGTCCCCGATTCATCATAGTGAAGTCATTTTCGCTCATTCAGTGTACGACCTCGTACGATCCTTGCATCTAGTCTTCTGTTCATTAACACTCATGGGCACTAATTTCCTTACAATGCGGCACCAATATTTTATAATCTGTATTTATTTCTCACTTGGATTTTCCATAGTGTTACCTACTTTGCACTGGTCTATTCGTAGTGCCCATAAGACCCTTCAGCTTTTGGGAACCATCTTTTGTTCACATGCTTCATATAGCTTACTGATTCATGCCAATGACAGCTTTACGCTCTTCGTGACTCGTGGTTTTCTTCTTCATACTTTCTCTGAAACATTTTCACTTCAGCTGGGCGCCGCCCGCGATATCCCCGTCCATGTGGACTGTTGTCTTGGTGGTTTTCTTCTCCCGTTCATGGATTTGGCTGGCTACCCAATCGAACCGTTTGATTTCCGTCTACCCGGTGTGACAAGCATATCGTGTGATACTCACAAAGCAAGTTGTTGTCTTGCCTATTTCTCCTGTCTTATGTTTGGGCATTACCAGACATCGCACTTGTTTTCCTTTCTGTCCTAATAACGTTTTTCGCATGTGTATCTTTGCTGGGACAAACCACTACACTATTTGGTTAAGCACCTTGCTTGGATTTTTTTTTCTTGAGGCAATGACTGCGCCGCACTCACTGCCAGGCTTTGTTTATTTAGTAGCTTTGCGAACTAGACTGATGTCGAAGATCAGAGGCAGAAAACCTTAGACAAAAAACTTTCCCGAAATGAGCAACCCGAAAGCATTATCTACCCACGAGACTTCATCGCTCATTTTCATTCCATAGTTACTAACAACGGAGTTCGCCACCTGTACTGACCGTTCTTCGAGCGACAGATCTCAATCCACATCGCTTCTTTCAATGTGCATGTCCCTATCAAGAGTTGTCGACGGATAGCACTCTAGACTTCGAATCGCATATATTGGGTTGATCACATTCTTCGTATACCAGCCGGTTACTTTGGTGTGTACTTTACCACTATCAAGCCTAGTGAGGTCAAACCAAGAAGTTGTGACTGCCTGTTGGTTATCGCCTTCTTGAATAGGGACCCTAAAATACTTCATCGAGCATAGTACGATCGTGAACCGAGTGGCGTTCTTGCACTCGCTTCATCACGTTAGGCATTTCTGTACCCCACCTAAAGCTCTTTTACCTTCCTTTTAAATGTTTATTTTCATTATTAACGTTTTTTAACGATTCGGATCAATGCAACTGAATCCACCGCAGTTTCTTGCGTGGACCTTAGTTCTTCGATTGAACTACTGAAATGTGTTTTCTTTGGAACATCCAAGACTAACATATTAACCAATTTTCTACTGCTTGACTCAGATCCCTGCAACGCAGACCAAATATCTTTTCCGGCGACCCCGAATCAAGAGAACAACAATTTAGTGCTGTCTACTTGATTTGGCACGGGTGAAAAGCCACATGTGTACAGTATGACGCTGCACCCCCTTGGAGGTTGCAGTGATGTTTCCTGATCTGGTATCGTAATATCAGCAAAACAATCACACAACTGCGGGCGCAATTTAGCATTTCGATTCTCCATCAGGCCTATTGGGCGTCCCTGGAAAACGGGGTGACTTTTTATTGATTCGGTCAAACAAGTATCACTAATAATTCACCCCCCGTTCCTACAGCCAAGAATATAGATGTTCCAATTTATTATGCTATATGTATTCTCATTTGAGTCGCTCGTCGAAGATTGAACAACTTCTCTTAGGTCGATTTATGGCTATGTACATCATTCTGATAGTGACCACCAGTCTCCAGCTTTGTGACGTTCGTAACCTTCACATTTGCAGCAACAGCATAAGCTTTCATGTCGCGTCACCCGACGTCCATCATGTTCCGAGCTCTGCTTGATCGTATTCCCGTCAGTGTAAGTTCACCGATTTATCTAGAATTTCCACCTAGACTCTGATCATGTCACAATACATACGGCACTGATTTCCCTAACCTCAGCGATGCGCCCCATTTTGGGGATTCTTGCTTATCAGCTAGATCCAGCTATGCATGATGCACCATCAGTCCTAACTGGAACGCCAGCTACCGGTGGTGAAGGGGCTGATTCCCAATTGGATTCACCTCAAAATGAACCAGGTAGAGGCAGGGGAACCTGCTTGTTCCGTTAGATTGATGCACCGTAATAGTGCGTGAGTTTCCGAAGCGTCGGTTGCATTATTTTAAGAAAGGCGGGCATTTCACACAGCATCCGACTAGGTGTCTCCGAATGAACCTGGTTCATCTATGGATAGCAAGGTGCAGGAAGCTGAAAAGAGCCAGTGCCGCTGGGAACAGCTGGGCATTGTTCATACTCATATCAGCTACTATACCGGAAATATTCTCCGTTGATCAAGGAATAGTTGAGGAAGTTGCACTATTGGCCTTTTCTCAGATGCTTTAACTGGATTGTTGGGTGAACTAGTTCAAGGACACGCCCATCCTCCCGTTGTTGTCACCGAGTCGTCTGTTTCCTGTTAGAACGTTTGTGTTGCTGCTCCGCATCTAGACGGACTTCGATGTGAACTACTGAACTCCTGGGCCCAACAACTTCACAGTATCGATAGTGAACGACATTGGCGGTTTGTCCACCCGCGGTTCGGCTGCTTTGTCCAGCCCTATTACAATCCGAGGAAGTTTTTTTTCGAATAGGCCGTTGCCAACTGTCATCACTACCTTTGACAAGTGGTATAGAACGTTTTATGCGAATCATCGTGCATTTGCCTCTTAATTGTTCACAGATGCCTGACGACTGTGGCTTATTGATTCTCAGGTAGTGAAATGAGTATAAGTCAGACCAGCCTACATTCTTGCATGTGCACTGGCCACACCTTTACCTTCCCTCAGGTGTCCGAACGGTACCCTACTTACGGACAGCGTTATGTAGTTAGCAGACCTTTTCTCAACTGGTCTTGTCTTTGATGTTGCTTATCTTTGAATGGCGTATCGAAGAGGCTCCTTTTCGCTCGTGTTTACCACAACTCTAGAGGTTGGGTACTGGTCTATGAAAATCTCTTTTCTTATACCTTTACAGCAAGTGGACTACGTCTGAGGCGTCATTCCTCTCTCTAAGCTTAGCCATCGGATATTATGAAACACTTATTTGTACCCTTCTAGCACAGCAGTCCCACCTTGTCAAATGTAGTTGCCACGCAAACTCCTCTGGATTGAGTGACATGGGGGCTGAACACATTCGCTTTCACTTTCCTTATACAAAATATTTTCCAAGGACTGGATTTGCGCACCACTGATTCTCACTTTCGCCGAGCAGTCATCCGGTCCTCGATCGGTTTGTTTATCCAACCAGCTGCATCACCCTTGGAGGTCAATTCATTAAAGTAGTTGCGGTCTGCACTGGAATATCTCTGGTGACAAGGTATGGGTTTCCGAGTTAAGGTTAGATTGTAAAGGGTTGCTATGCTACTGTTTGGATCGAAGATATGCTCGTTGCACTTTGAATGCATTAAAAATCTCCTTGTTTTTCACCACTTGTAATTGCTTAAGAAGATTAAAAGAAGACATCGGTAGTATGTCGTATCGACGCTTCACTACCATGCGGCAACCACCAGTCGAGCGCGGTCTAAGGATACTACGAGATTGCCTGTACCCATACACAGTTGAACTAGTGACCTTCGGGTTACTAGGCCAACGTCTCATCCCTTGTGCCACGGAGAGAGTGATGCTGACGCCCGCCTTTGGTTATTGGCTGCAGTCTGTCTTATGCACCACTCCATGTGAACCGCCCTCGTTGACCGCGTTGGTTCTGTTACTCCTGTGTCCGTTGATAGCCTGCCTGAGCATAATGTTTCCGGATGCTGTGTGGTTGGAAGTAGCCTCAGAGTGGCCAGCCGATGACGTGACAAAAGGATATGAGGTGGCTAATCACGAGGTGTAGCTTCGAGATGTGTCACTTCAGGGGTTATGAGCCTTATGCAGTATGGCCTTTTCGAATTTTATCCGTTCAATCCCGATGGCTTTTTTACTCCATGCTCAACTGTTTTCTCATATCTTTCGACTGATTTATGTCGAAGTTTACTTAGTTTTCTACCTCCAGTTTCTTTTCCTCATAAACTCCCATTGACTCAACTGGATGCACCTGGATTCATCGTACATCAGTGCTCGAATAAGTAGACTTAAACAAATTCGCTAATGTCGTCTTGTTTTAGTGCGTCCTGGATCTTAGTTATTGTTCTGTTCGATACGGTGCTGATCACTTCGAGACGGAACAGTTGCCCTGCGAGCAGAATCATTTGCCAGTGACTTACTTTTAAACATGCATAGATTTTGCATACTTTAACTGTTGGCTGGAATGTATCTGCATGTGCCTGTATATCATGATCGAAGGATTAGAATGCACTTCACTCGAGAAGTTCGACCTGTTGTGGCTCTCTGTTCCCACTATTCTGGTTTCATTGCATTACCCTTTCAAACCAACCGTATAGTGTCATTGTTGTACTCTCTGTGCACCCTACCTACTTTGGAATGGGTTAGGAGAAGCCACACCCAATTTAAAAATAGTTTGTCAAAAGGGAATCCAGCCAAACAGTCTACATGCATTGAATAATGTAATGTTTACCACTTCCCCCTCTAAGTGCTAGTCTTTGTTCGGTTCCACGGCGATCGCGCGTGAATTCACAGCTTTCGCGCTTCTCTTGTAATCCCATTGGACACCGGCAACCGACCCCACCCATTGTCATCATACACACAAAAAGAGCCCTATAGATGAGTAAAATTGGTGATAGCAAACCTGCTTTAAAGCCATACCGGCACACGGTCAGATGAGACATGGAAGAGCGGGTGAAACCTTTCGAGAGACTACCCTACATAGAAGCAGGTTCCCTGGAGACGACTCCACGTTTAACCTTATTACTATACCAGAACATTTAGATTTATCTGCATTTATTATTGTTATTATTATTAATAGCAACCTCTCCATCTATTTGAAAGATTCAGCCGATTAAGCAGCCCTGCAAAGTAGTTTGGGAGAAAAGCGCAACTCGAGGAAATATCATCCATCCCATGCGATCCAGTTGTACATAACGACCATGCCAATCAGTTAGATTGTGCCTCGTACGGTCGAGGAATATACCCTTTATTTACTTATTTATTTATTTAAAGGTGAAAATACCTCAGCTACTGTGTCACAACACAAAAAGATACAAGCTATGAAAATGTTGGATGCCATACATCACAGAATACATAAAAATCAAAACCAAGTAATATAATGCTTAGTGTCATATTATGCATCGAGTCCCAGGTGGTGATTCAAAAGGGAAGATAAATGGAAGGGAATGAGGCAAAGAAACTCACAACACTATTAAGGTCGGCTCGTGGCCATGTTAACGAGTGTATCTAACCAAATGTCCATTGTTCTTGGGACCTTAACCCGGCAGTCGGGCGACACCGACACCCAGTTCGGAGTGGGATTCTTCATTCCTCTTGACCATTCAGTTGGTCATTCGTTCTCCGGGTTGGGCAGTTTGGTTGCAAACGTTTCACCACCATGCGAGGTGGCATCGTCAGTTAGCGAGATGTAGCGCGCAATCTTGCTGAATCAGTAAGATGGGTTTGGTGCACCTGGCTTCTTGGTTGGATGGTATCCATGATCTTATAGCGTTGTCGCAGGCACCCGCCGAAGCGAACCCGGAGATCAGCGCATACAACTGTGTGGCCGGAGTCCACGCTCGTATTCCAACTTGAGCGACAGTTTTGAACACAGCCTGTCCAATGTTAACCGATGGCGATGTCATCAACTTGCTTCCCTGGCTGTTGGGCACAATGTCACTCTTATGCGGGTGCTGTGTCGGAATTTAGTGCTCGCGAGAAATAGACGATCATCTTCACACATGTGTAGCAACTGCTCACCGTTATCATTACGGAAGCCTACACCGTGCTTGCCGACCAGATGTAGCTCATCAGTGAACAGTTTTGCAACTTGGGCGTTCAGATCACCAACCAGCACCACAGTATCCGTGCTTTTTCCGTAACGAATGAGATCATGCAGTCTGTGATAGAATTCATCTTCCACCGAATCAGCGCTACGGTTTGTGGGCGCGTATGCAGCAGTGGCAAGCAAGCACCGTTTGTCCTCACACGACGATGGCTCGGCCACACGTTACGCATGCCAGCCCACCGACTCCCGCGACGTACGTATTTTGTGTGTTAGGAGTATGCATGGAGGAAGAGAAGGGGTGACCAAGCGATGCCTTGGTCAAGAACAGTGAAGGACTTTACTTGACGTTGACTTCAGTTGGAGCCTCTCGGCTCCCTGGTTGGGGTCCGAAAGACGATGAACACCTTTTTCTGGATGTACTTGCTAACATGGCTAGGACCTGATCTCACTGGCGTTTGAGTTGTAAGTTTCTTTGTCCCTCACCCTTCAACCGCGATCTCGCTTTTTAGTATAATATAAATTTTGCATAAAGGATTTCTTGCTGCATAGTAGCCGGCTGGTAGCTTTCCGGAAGGATGCCCATCCGTTACTGGTAGCTCGGCTGGTGTGCACCTGTTGCATGTTTTTTTCTTTTCTTATTTATTGTGGCACAGTAGCTAATCAATTTTCCATCTCTAGCTAAGGTGTCTAATGTATGTAATCTATCTATTGAAGTGTTGTGTCGGAACCCCGCGACTGCTTCCACCCACTAACGGTAGTGAGAACACGAGCGACCAAGGCCAGAAATCTAAGAGATTTTTTACATAGGGAAACCAGTTCGTTATATAGCATAACGCACAAGCATGAAAGCCAGCCAGAGTACGGTAAGCATGTGGACACTTAACACCAATAAGAACAGAGCAGATGAGGAACCAATCAAATGCACGCAAAGAACGTAAAGTGAGAGTGATAGCGTCAGAGTATGGCTGTGATCTGAAGGCAAACACAACGACTCCAAATAGCCAATAGGGATAGCGAAATGCTGCGTTAAAACAAACATCGGTGAAGCTCCATAGCAGAACGAAAGTCTGCAGTCATGAACGGCTACACAAGCATACCTGTGTTTTTCTTGCACCTCCAACATGAAGCTTTGAACGAGCCAGCCAGTCTGACAGTGCACATCCGGCTGTTGATTGGGATCCTGTCGATCAAGACAGCTGTCGCCCAGGAACCCAGAGCAGTATCTACACTGGCTTGACCAGTATTTGAAGCTGCGTAATCTCCAGACAAACGCAGTGAGAAAGTGCCGCCAGTATCGTTTGTGGGGGATCGCAGTGTAATCACGGAACTCGAATCTTACAGGCGAGTTTCCAAGTAAGCAGCAGACATCGATCCATAGGGTCTGTAGAGTTCTGCCAACTGCTACCTGTTGCCCAGCCTGTACCAAATTACGCACTTTGGGGTAGGCCAATCTTAATGAGGATCGAGGGCTACATATACCAAGTGAACTGAGGTTGTCTGCTTGGTTTGACATGGACTTATCGTCTGGACCGAAGCGACGCCCTTCGATTGCGTGCCAGTCGAAACGAAAAGGCAAAGGACTATCGGAGCAAGATGGGAGTCAAGAATCAGGGGTTGAAAACAGGTAGTAAACTTTATGTTAGAACGAGACGATAAGAATAAAATAAGCGTAAGGAATAGGAAGACGGGATGACCCGAGTACTAGCATCCTCACTATCCACCCTGCTCGATGCGGCAGGTAGGACGCCGTTGATTTTCCCCTGCGACGCCATAGTATCAGGAACTTATTTGGGGCGTTTATCGTATTGCATAGGTAGGATATTACCAGATTACTCAATCCTAGACAGAGGAACGATTATCCTTCTCAACCCAGTTCTTTGGTTTAAAAACCTGACCTCTAGGCCGTGGGGCTTTGGAACTGGGCTACAGAGTCCGTTTTATGAAGTAAGGAGCCACCGTCACTGCAACCTGGAGAGTCGGTAGACTGAGTGACTCTGAATGTGCAGAAGCACAACCCGGCATAGCCCAATGGGTCGTTGATGCAGGCAAACCATCGCTGAACATTAAGATCCAATCTCGTCGCGATGGACTGATTCCACCAACGAAATAGCTGTGAACTCACAGCCCATCATAGTCATGTAGGGCATTGCTCATTATTCGTCCACGTTATGGGCTGTTCCACTCAAGGCTTTTTGCGGTATTCGCTATCTGATCCTAGAGATGCTCTTAAAAATGTGAAAAGATATGCATCGGCCGTACGCCGCTACTTTGTACCGACATTTAGCTAACTCGCGACCGCCACCAGTCGCGTGCGGGTTTGGATACTGCTAAGTCGCCCACACCTACATTTGATCGGACTGGTGACCTGTGACTTACAAGGCATGCCGTGAACCACCAGCCACAGGCCTCCTCGTGACGCTCGGCCAACGATTATGCATTACAACTTTTCCCTCAGGTAGAAACGCTTCTGGCTATTTCTTTTGGGTTCATCTTGGTTGTTTATAACGCGAATCCGGATGATTCGTTAATTTTACTTCTCGGTGCTCTAGGACTGATAGTTGTAAGCACAGTTGAAGGTTGTGCACTACAACATATCGAAGCACATTTTCTGTGGGCCTTCCACGTCGGACCACACATTCCCGCTGTTGTTGACGTGAACATACCTCCACGTGTCTATTCGTCATCGAATCGAGTTGGTTTTCTTTGTATATTGATGCCACTTAACGCATCAACTTCTATGACCTCACACCACCTCACTATACTGGATCTAAACGATCGAATCCACCTCAGCTGTTTGGTAACCAACCCAGTCCACTATCTTTTTGATCTCATACTAAATGACTATAGTTTCTCTGTATCTGCGCCTCAGAAATTTGCTAACATTCGCAGTTGCTGGCTTTGAATATGACTCATTCAGTTACTGGCTCTTTTTCGCTACTGCTATTCACTGGAAACAGATCACTTTCATTTTCAACCCTTTGGATCTTCGATGCTATTTCGTCCGCGTGGCCACGTGTTCTTGGATGACCGACTTGTCAAATACCTTGCTGCGCAAGCGTCGGAAATCACGATTTCATCTTTTGAGAATCTCGCTCTTGTACGCTGCTTATCTATCCGCTCTGCCACGTCTGCGCCCTCGTGCCTAGATTCTACCCACTGGCCGAACGGCGTTGTCCTCAGGTGTTTGCACGCGCTGACGTGTAATCAAGCATTGTACCTCTCAGATCCGCGATCGATATCCGTCATTCGTTATGTCCTGTTGCTGGCATACCACACTTTATCAAATTGCTTTGCAGTTTTTTGGCACAATGAATACCCAGATACATGTTCTATTTGGATTACTTTTGGGCGCTTTTCCCCAGTCATTGCTATCCTAGGTCCGGCTTTTTATTCATAAAATCTCATTCCCCAACACTGCGATTTATAGTACTGTTCTTGCATTTCCTTCCATTGTTTCACAAATTGTTTATTGAGAGCATGCAGGGCGTTTTGCTACACTGTACTCAGTCAGTGCGTCTGTGGCACCTTTCAGTCTTCGCACATGCATTGTCCTTTTCCCTTGCCAGTATATCGTTCGTCCGAGGGTATATCCTTATTTTTCCTTCGCGTTTACTGACCTGTGAGTTTAGTCTTATTCCTCTGACCGAGTTAAACCAGTTGAAGTCTCTGACCGGGATCATTAACTTTTGGTCGTCTTTCTATAGTAAGCGCTATGGAGGATACTGCGTGATCGTTTGGAACACCTTCAATTAGTCTACTTCGGTCCATTTCCTTTTATTTCTTTTTCATTCATCGTCCATCCTGCTTTTCCTACACCTTTTTTACGTTTCATTAATTAACATCGCGTAAAGTCACCTTGACCTCCACTCTTATATGAAGATCCCCCTCATCTCACCGTCTCCGTTTCTCCGCATTCTGTCTAGTATGGATTTGCCACCAAAGGTACTTCTGTGATACTGTATCGCAACAAGTTCTATCGGTCCCATCAATTCTTTACTCAGCCTGATTGGTCCGGTGGCGTTTATGCCTCGCCCACACTTGCAGGTGAGTCTGAATTTTGCATCTGCACACCTCGTTTTTATCAACCACTCTTTCTTTTGTCTATCTGGCTAGCTGACGCTTCATGATTCAGATCGCAAACCCACATTGGACTTCGCCGCGGGAACAATACCTCCAATAGAACATCTTTGTCAAAACCCTGAAACACTGTCGAAATGTGAACCATCCGCTTTTAAGCGAGTCTTTGATAATCCCCACACCAACATACTGCACAGATCACATGTTTATACGATGTGTCGCTGACATTTTCGCGCTCCGGTCGATATTCATTGAGATGGCAATTCATGCATTTTCCTTGCCCTCTTTCGGCATGTCGACACAATCACGGGGTACATATGGGATCACGCGCTTGTCAGTTTCGCGTGACAAGGGTGATGGGGGGTCTAATAAATCGACGTCTTATGTTTGCGGCAAGCTGCCTCATTGTGCGACCCTGGCGCGGGCTCTAAAACATTTCGCCTATTCAGTTTCTCTACATTTTTCAGTTTTCCTCTGTGCAACTCACCTCAGAGACCTAAAAGTGTTGACGTTACCGACCGTCATTCGTACACACTCTTTGAACTTTACTGTATTTAGCATCTTCTAATCTATCTGACTGTGTAACTCCATGGTTTCTTACTCCTGAAGACTTTGTACACCACGTTATCGTTGTGCTAAGGCAGGTATTTTTACTTCATGTACTTATCTATAACCGAGATGGGAATTCCTGGCTTTTTCTTTCGTTAATTTTTCCAAACAAATCATTCGGACCAACCAACTCAGTGATCACCTCGTTTTATCTTCCTTTCCGATAACATCACTTTCTCTTCACCATGGCTAAATCGGACTCCTTGGGATGCCGTTCACGTAGATACCGACACGTATGGCGCAGATTTGATGCAACTGACCAGTTGATCAGCTTTATCATCGCTTCTAATTCCGACTACCTCATCAGATGCATCCCAACCATGCCGACCTATCCAGGCAACACAGGCTCAGAATTTCGATGCTTGCACCTTTCCAAGCACTGGCTTTGTACTTTCATTTGATGGACATAAATACCAGCTTGTAGCATTAAAAAAAGCGAATAGCATTGAGATTCGACTCAGGTAGTGTTTCTTGTGGAATCCGTTTACTGCCACCGTTTGACGTGTTCCGCACAATCCCCATTAATATCGAATGCTGCGCTTCACATCTGTAACCTTGCTCACACCCCGGACCTTAAGTCATAATGATCTTTCTTGTCTTAAACTCTTCTCTTTCATGTTGCTTCTTCTGTACCACAACATTTGACAACAAATGCGGATTAAGTGCGTTCGGCTCACTGTATGTCGCCAAAGTGATTTTTCTCCTTACCAGCCGGCTACCCATGGCGAAAGTAACTTAGTATGTCCTGCTGAAGCGATCATCGACACCAGGATAACATTCAGTTCCGACCCACGGACAGTTACGCATGGCCTCGTGTCCTCCATTTCACAACCTTTGTACAACTTGCGCAATACTTGCCAGATACAAAGTCACCGTGTGTGTTTGAACGGACGGGCTCCCAGACTGGTACCATTCTTTTTCAACAGCTCCACTTTGAGGTGCACTAGCCACCACTTGTTCCGAACCTCAGCAGATCTACAGTTCTTGGAGAGTCTGGAGATCTTAAACGCGCAGCTTTCTCACGGACATTTAGAATGGAATATGAATCACTGTTATTCTATAATTGCGTACCTGTAAATGATCCATAATTGGTATCTTTAACTTGGATGTGCTAGCTCAACCACTAACTCCCATCAACTGCACGGCCTCCCGTTCACATTTACACTTGTCTATGGTTTTATAGGTCTATCTTTGCACAGCATACATGTCGGTATACTTGGTGCCTTGTTCTTATGACTTTCTCTCATACACCACTTTGTTCGTGAGGTTTGCGTAACATTCAGCCTTCGCCTCTTCGTACGCTGCAATCCGTCCAGATGCCAGGACTATGTATTGTTCTTTGAACTATTCTGTCTGTTTGCCTTTATCTTCGGACGTATTAACTGTGCATTTGCTTGACATTTGGCCGCTGCGCCCATTTTAAACCCTTTGTCTAGCCAGCTATTCCATTCTATATTATGGTGACAGCACTTTATTCTCGATCCTGTAATAAATTCGATCCGATACGTCGTCCCATAGATTCTTGAATTTTTACTTTTTTTCTCATCTAACGATGTTGCCAATACCCTTTTCCATACACCCGTTTTTCCACCCTGCTCTCAGGAAGCCGGTCTGGAGCTGTTATCGCCGTGTGTTGGGCGACAATGATGCACTTCGGCATCAGCGGATACGTGGAATCTACGAGGAGAATCGTGAAGACCACCAGGTTTATCAGTAAACAGTAAGCGCCACAAGAATGAGGTGATATAATTGGAAGTTGCATCATGCTGTTGCTCCCAACTCATTCTTTGGCTTATCTCCACGTTTCCCCTTTGCTCTTGGTAAACTAATTTCTCTTTTCCACTAACCTTCTCACTTCCAATCGTTGTCTATAAGCACGCAAACTGCTCTGCAGCAGAAATCTGTGTACTCTCGGGATCTGTTTTGGAGATAGTTTTGCTGGATCGTAAATTAGAAGCATAACAATTACGAAGAGTAGTCCTTTCAGCAGTTTACTTCAGGCTAATACACTTACAAGAATAAGCCAAATGTGGCAAGTAAGTGAAGCTCAGGGTGCGATTAGTTGTTTCAACAAAATCGTTCAATAGTTCAATTGACATAGCGTCTAATGTAAACTGCATTTTTTCACGGCCAAAGAAAATGAAAGCTTGTATCAGTGTTCTCTGCCTGCACAACCCTAGCTGAAGTAGTCTGACTGCAATGGTTTCAGCGGTGGCCAATAAGCACGTTCGAATCCCTTGGTGTTGCGCATCGACGGCGTGCAGATCACTTTGAATAGGCCTCCAATCCGAATCTGGTGGCCTCCACTAAGGAGATGTGCGAGAATGGAACTACGGACATTCTTAACCGTGCGATGTTGGCAAGAGGCAAGACCTCATACGCCTACATTCAAGCTTGATCCCATACGAAACGATAGCATTGTACATGATGAAACCAAACTCATAAGATCACTAAAGGAGCTGAAGCGCGCCAACTATTTTTGCTGACTTCACGCTCGAGAAGCTAACCTCAGGTGGCTCACATACACATCCTTTGTACTACTAAACAAAAGTATCAACTAAATGGGCATCTTTCGCAACGAGACTGGATCTTAACTTGGTGTGACGGTTTGCGAACCTCTTTGACACATAGAGCTATACTGGGTGGTGCCCCTGGGCCTCTTGAGAGCCACTCTTATCAGGTTGGTCAGTGGTTAGAGGTCAGACAAACTCAGTCCCCTTGTCCTCTAGGTTGCGTGTTTGAAATGGGATGGCGTTCATTTCTGTAAAACCGCATCGTTACCACATCATCTGCCTTGCAGACAGGCTTTTGAGCCAAAGGCTTTGGATGAAGACCCTAATCGTTCTTGTCTAAGTCTGGGTGCCCCGGCAGTATCTCAGCCCACATACAACCACGGCTTTTTCTTCAAACATAAACTTCATCCTGCATCGGCCGTCGCACAGATTATCAAGGTTCGCTTTATCTGTTGCATACAGCAGGGTGGATAACCGAAAATATGCTACTACTTGCGCCTCCCTTCTTTTATTTCCACCTGTCTCGCTTACTCTCATCCTAACCCTTATTACTAACTTCTGTAGTTTTCAGCTTAATTGACAGCAGCCGTAAAGCTACTGGAGTCGAACCACCTGCAGCTACCTTCCCGCGCCACCCACTAGACGTCTTTCGGCAATAGTTCCTTATAAGACCATGCTGTCCCATTTCCCTGGCGGCGTTTAACCTTCGCACTCTAAGAGAACTAGGTCAACTGGCTGCACTCACACGCACCTTGGACACACGAGCTATTGAGGCGTATTGTGTGCCCGAAACTAGGATCAATATCCCTAATGGGATTGTTGAATCAACTGCGCCTGGCTTGTCCTCTCGCAATTGGTCGCACGCATCCTGAGACGCTGATGCGGCAACCACAGATCAAGCTAGAGTGGGTACTGTTCTCAGCTCCAAGGCCGAGTCATCGTTGGTTGATTGGATTCCGGCGAACAGCCGTTTATGTGCATCTCCTTTGACGACATCGTCCAAGGCGAATTCACGGAGTAGCACTAGATGCTGTTTGTTTGTGCTTTCCGCTTATGCCCCCACTGATTGCAGCTCTGGAGCTGCGAATGACACTTTCTACCACGAACTAAACATGCCACTATGCAATGTTACCCGTTCAGATATCCTTATTCTTGCAGGGGGTCTGAATGCGCGAGTAGATTGTCTGAGCTCTTCATAAGCTCTGCTAGGTGATATGTATGGACTTAACTCCAACCGTACGGACACCAGCGAGCTTCTGCTGCAACTGTGTGCGGAGCACCAGCTGTTTCTTAGTAGTACCGCTTTTAGACACAGTGAGCGCCGAGGTGCAACTTGGCGCCCTCCTATAGCTGGCCAGCGATGGACCCACCTAGATCACGTTGCCATAAGTTACAGTTGACATGGTCCCATCCTGGATTCTCGCTCATTCTGGAGTACTTGCCTCGACTCTGAGCATGTCTTTCTTCGCTGACGTTTTTCCATGACCTTTGCCGGGAGGCGCACCAAGCGTCTCTCCCGATTGGCAACTGAAAAATTATCTCAGTCCTCGGTCAGGCAAGCCTACCAAGATGCACTGTGTACCGAACTTTCGCTGTCTTGTCCTAATGACACTGAGCTTCAGGGGAATAGGATCTCGGCCGCCATGCACGACGCAGGAGCATTTGCTTGTGGCATTATTAATCGTTACCGCACCAGTCACTGGATGTTCGAGAGGTCCGTGAATCTGTTGGAATTCAGCAGAAACCTCTCGGCTGGCTCTGACCACAGTGTGACCAGACGGACTATTGGGCGCGAAATAAAGCGGAGCCTGCGCGCTGACAAGTAAGCGTGGCAGATCAGTCGCGCTCAAGAAATGAAGGAGACAGGAGCAGTAGGTAATTACCACAAGCTATTCCAGCTGATCCGCGCCACTTGTCCCAGGAGACTAGGCGTCATTGAGACAATCTGAGACAACGCGGGTGCACTGATACACAATAAGGAGCGCCGTATGTCTCATTAGGAGGAGCGCATTCGAGAGCAGTTCAGTTGTCCCCTGTTTCTGAACCTCTTCCTACTCAGGTGTTGCAGGCTGAACCACGTCCAGTTAGTTTAGAGGCTCCGTGGTTGGTTGAGGTCCGAAACGCAATCGCAGCCCTTAATCGTTTTCGCGCTTCTGGCCCGGATTCGCCCGCACCCGCACTATTTGAAGATGGAGATGAACTCCTCTGCTTACGTTGACCTCACTGTTCGAGCACATCTGGAAGGCAGAGACCATCCCAGATAACTGGAATCAATCAATTCTAATGGTAAAATACAAGAAAGGCAGTCCTACTGACTGTGCTAACGACAGTGTTATTGGCTTAACGCAGGTGGTGGCAAAATTACTCGTCTCACTTCTCGATCATTGCCTCACTGCGGGGCGGGAATCTCAGATTAGGGGTGAATAGGCAGGCTACCGCCCAGGACGGGGCTATATAGACCATATATTCACTGCGGCAGGTGCGAGAGCAGCGCCACACGTGTCGCAGACCGACAATAGCTGTGTTCCTTGATTTCAAGAGTGCGTTCGATTTAGTCGATCGATGAATTCTGTTCGAAATACTTGCGCGGATAGATGTCCCCATAAATGATGTGAACATTTTACTTGCTCTGTACTCGAACACCACAGGCCGCATCAGGGTCTACGGTGATTTGTCGGATAGCTTTCCGACCACAAGTGGCGTTCGTCAGGATTGTCCAATTACCCGTTTTTGTTCAGTTTCGTCGCGGACTCTATCATGAACCGTTCGCTTGCAGAATATTCGATGTAGGCGTTGAGATGCTGCATTGATTATGCGGACGATATCTTCTTACTTTTCAACGATGTTGCGGCGGCACAATCAACCCTGAATAGCCTGTCTACAGTGGTCCCATTATTTGGTACGCGCTCCTCACCTTCAAAGTGCAAAGTGTTGCTGCGGGACCACCTGCTACTTGATGGCCCCTTGACCCATGATAACGAGGAACTCGAGGTGGTTGATCGATTCGCTTACCTTGGCAGCTGCATCAGGAACGATGAGCGTATAGAAACTGAAGTCAGTTCACGCATTGACAAAGTCAGAACAGCCTTCTTGTACGTGCGGCGTCTTTGGCGACAGAAGGGTTTCTGTCAGTCCGCAAGACCGTGTATACCAGGTCACGGTGAGGGCCGTCCTACTCTATGGTAGTGAAGCTTGGCCCCTTTGGTATGGAGATCTGAGGTTTTTTCAAGTCCTTGTCTGCGAAACATTGCTGGTGTCGGGCGGCACCAGCGTGTCCGCAACGATGGTATGCGTAGGCGAGTACTAGTCATTGATAATCAGGCTAGTTCCTTAGAACAACATATATCATTGAATAAGTTGCGCTGGCTTGGGTACGTATTACGTATGTCTGGTCATTGTTTAGCGTTGAGGGCTTTGTTTTGTTCGCCAGCTGATGGGTGGCGAAAGGCTTGAGGTGGACAAATGTAGACTTCGCCGCCGAAAATGAAGCCACCGACGACCACACTGGGTGCTGTCGGTCCTTCAGGCTAGACTCGACGTGATGCGCCTTGAACTTGGCTCGAGACGTTACAGGACATGGCTCACAGTCCACACTAATGGTGTATTTCCTATTCACATTGCCTGTTTAAGATGTGTTTGAATTTGTGTTATATGCGGGGTAATGGCTGATTATGACGCACGGCAAAGTCGCAAGGACAATGCCACGCCGATGCCATTTTGTCTTTGCACGATAGCCCTCTGTTTGTGATGATGTGTTGTAGACAAGATGTTTGGCGTTAACCCTGAATGTCTGACTAGGGCATTAATGTATTTCCATAGGTCCCCCTTCTCTCCCTCTACTTGTTCTTCGTACCGTAGGTCACCGTGGTTGTACGGCAGCGAAGCATCATTTTAAGTGGCTGATATATTACTGTCACAGAAGAATACGGGTTTTGCTGCACGTTTGGCGGACCATGCCGACTCCGAGAGCGGTCATTTTCCTCAAGACCACCATTCTGAGGCAACCAATTGTTTTCATTGATTTCTCTACAGGTCGGTACGAATCATATAAGGTTAAACTACGAAGGTAAGTGCACGGTGATTGGTTCAGATGTAGGTCAGTGGTTAGACAGCAAATGGTTGGTTGCTGTCTTGCGCACACACAGAGATCGATAAGTGTTACCTAATCAAACTGACTACGCCGGTGTCAGAGTGACAGTTAGCTTGA